CTTGTTCCAGAATATCATATATATATTGAATGATGGACATGGTACTTGATCACCAATTTGAATTATTTGCTTTAAATAGGAGAGACTATATTCTACTTACTTTTCTGGATTAGGAATCACCTTACCTAAAGTTAGTTCAATACTCAACTCACATTGAATGTCAAGAGGATCTATTTGAGGACAGGAAATCAAGGCAAAGGATCATGATTAGCAATAAATACGATAATGAAGTTAATTCTCAATAATATCCCATCATTTTTCCTCCCTTATATTCCATTTGATTTCATTTCTCTTTCAGACCTTTATTTTCTTACAGTTTAGATAAAAGTATAATCTGAATGAAATCCCAGTGAGGGAGGGCTCAAGGGATAGAACTCCAGTCAGTACTTAAATGCCGCTCCTCCATGAGATAAGGGAAGAGGATGAGATGACTTGACTTATATATTTGTCATGTGCACTTTATTCCCATCATTGTTATTTTTCACTTAATAACTATTTACTAAGCTCACACTTGTCTGCATCTGCCAGAGTCCTCTCTTCCTCCTTTCTTCCCTCTCTCCCTCTCTTCCTCTCTCCTTTCTTTCCTTCCTTAATTCCAAAACATGTCCAACATTCTGGTTTTAAAATCTCATTTCAGTTTATACAAAAACCAAATTCAAAGAACCTTGGTTCCCCTTCCCTACCCCCTCTGCCCTTTAGGGACCATGTCAGGAATTTTCAGCTAATTTCCCTCATGGTATACCTGGGTCACATGGGCTGTGTGTGTGTGTGTGTGTGTGTGTGTGTGCGCGCGCGCGTGCACTCACATGTGTATGCACATTCATAGGAAATGAAATAGATTTTTCTTTACAAGCATGTAACAGGTACAGTATTTCACAGCCTGCTGGTTAGTAATGGAATTCTTCTACCAGAGTCTCCTTTTCTGAATCCTGAACTGATTAACAGATGCAAATCCTGTACTGCAGGCTGGTGAAACTGAACCATCCATGCCCATGTATCTCTAGACAGTATACACATGCACAGAGTCACATACACACACCATTTTCATTAAAATGGATGCACATTCATATTACTGCTACATTCACTTCTAGATAGTTGGACATTTTTTATTTTGCAGTTTCAAAAGACATTCGGGCAGGAATTATTTAATAGAATAAAAGGAGTTTCAAAGGGATCAAGTATTAACAGGGGAATTTAAAGTCAAGTGTTATCTTCCAATAGAGGAGAGGTTCCATCAACCACGGGAGAGAATGATGGTCATTCCTGTCACTCTTCTCCTTTAGGTGTCCAGCTGTCTCTATCAAGTTCATGTTCCTCTAGGACCAGCCTGGGGCATTCTTCCATGACTTTTACCCACCCCATTCCCCATCAGAGCTCTTTTAGTAGCGCAAATTCTAGTTATGATTCTGTAATAATTAGGTTGCGTGGCTATTTACACAACCTCCTGCCCTCCTTGCAAAGGTGAATTTCCAGAAGACAGGCCCTGGCAGTAGGTAGTTTCAGTGGACCCTCTATGCAAGAGGTGAGGGCTGATTCAGCACTTTCACTGCTGGACAGCTCTGGGTGGACAGCTCTGGGTGGACGCCTCTGACCTCACCTTTCTGTGCTTTCCCTCCCTTCCTCTGTGGGGCTGCAGCCTCAGGGTCAGGGCCCTGATGGCTGCAAATGTCAGTAAGTGAGCAAAGAGACTTCTGCAGAGTCTCAGCTTCTCATTTTGTGTTCATTCACAGCAGTTGGCTCTTCTCCTGCTTCATGATGACAAAAATGACACTTCTGATCATGCATTATTGGAAATCCCTAAGTAGGAATTGAATATATATGAGATTTCATCTTTTATCATTGCCATTTACTTCTTGCAGACATTTGTCTTGGAACTTCTCAGAGGAGAGTATCTTCCACAACTCTCCTGTCCCTTCGTGCTCTAATCACTGTTCTCTTGTTTTTCTCTTCCTGAGATGAAGGGGAGGACTGTAGTAAGGAACAATGGAGACATACAGGATTACAATGCTGTCAAAATAACTTATCTTTAACATAATCTGTTTTCTATCCTACTTCTGCACGTGTTTGATCTGTCATTGATCCCTGACCAATTTTGCTCCTGAGAAGTTTGGGGTAAAACATTTTTTTGCAAGAAAAGGTGCTCAATATCATTTATCATTGGGAAATATAAATACAACCATATTGGAATTTCATCTCACATCTGCTAGAGTGGCTTTATTAAAAAAAAAAAAAAAAAAAAAAAAAAAAAAAAACAGGGGGTGGGAGACAAGACCAGCTGGCAAGGGAGTGGAGAAAAGGGAATGCTTGCACATAAATTGCTGCAACCACCATGGAAAACAGTATTGAGGTTCCTCAAAAAATTAAAATTATAATTATCATAGGACCCATCCATCCCCCTCCTGGGTATACATCCGAAGTAAATGAAATCAGTATCTTAGAGTAGTAAAGGTTCATTGTACCATTTTCACAGTAGCCAAGATATGGAAACACCTTAAGTGTTCATTACTGGATGAATAAGTAAAGAAATCATGGTACATATATACAGTTGGATATAAAAATGAAGGAAATCCTGCCATTTGTGAGAACATTGATGAAGCTGGAAGATATTATGCCAAATGAAATTAGCCAGGCATAGAAAGACACATATGATATGATCTCACCTATCTCTGTGTGTTAGCCAGCTGAGGTGGAATACTGGGGAGTGTGCCCCCCAGAGTGGTTTCTGAAGACAGGCTGCAGGAGCCATCCATAGAGATCAGTGAGCACCAGTGGAAGGCTGGAGCAGGTGGCCCTAACACTTTACTTCTTGTCCTGGGAGTCTAACTAAAATAGCAACAACCACTCAGTCCAAAGAACAGACACACACCTGCTGTGTCCCTCCAGAATCATCTTACTCCTTCCAAAATGAGGCCCAAAGATAGGATTTTTCATTCCTTGACATTTGAGGTCCACATGAAACTTATTCCCATAGCCAAGATTCTGATCTTTTCTGAGATGAACTCAGATAAACTGTTTGCCAGACAGCTGGACCAGAACCAAAGGGTAAGGAGATAAGGCCCAAATGAGGAAGGCAGCAGCCTCACCTTCTGTTAACTCCCATCCCAAAGTGAGAAATCAATGTGCTCAGTTGCAATTCAAAGCAATTAGTCTTTGTTCCCACATGTTCTCAAACAATGACTTAAAGAAGCCCAAATAAACATTTTCAGAAAAGAGAGCAAATTTGTATTACTTAACCCAAGGAATGCAAACAAGTGTAATTAAAGTGAATACCCATAAATAACGTAAATACATTACTTAGGAAATGAATTAATTAGTGTTTAATTACTATCAATTACTAAAATCACTACAGAATTACTTGTAGAATGGATTGGATCTCTTGCTCCTATTAATAATTTCCATTGCTAATTGTATGCAATTGTATTTTCTTTTCTTTGGGTGCATCTTAGCAGAGCTAATAGGAGGAAGGAACAGCACAGTGAACAATGACAGGAACATCTTTTTTCTTTGCTCGGTAAAACACAAAAATGGTTTGAAAAATATCTGCCTAGTTGTCAAAAGCCGGTTCAGCTAAGGAAGGTGCCCAGGAAGAAGGTATCTGTGGCACAGGGTGATCTGTGCCATTCCATGGTGAGGGTGAGAACAGAGGTTTGTGGCAGGGCCTAAGGTGGAGGATGTGTGTGTTTGTGTGTGGGTATGTATATGTAGAGATGAGAGAGACAGGTGTTAGAAGGTTCAATATCTGCACTTATTTCCAGGATGCCTATACCCATGTATAGGCTGGCAGATGGGCATCACTACCCACAGGTCTGTCCAGGTGAGGGAATGGACTTGATATTTACCTGGAAGATGGAGTAATAATCTGCTTTTTGGTGAAGAGAACATCCCTAATGTCATGGTCCCCAACAATTTTGACACTAGGTGGTGAGTGGCAGAAACAGATGCATATATATGAGAGAATGAGAATAAAGGGTATCTACCAAAGGAGTCCATTCTTATTTTTCTCTTCATACAACATCCCCTTTCCCTCTCTCTACCCTCACCCCCTCTGTCTTTCATGAACATTCTCAAACCTGGTTTTGATTCTAGGCTTCTCCACCTGGGAAACCCTGGGAGAGTTACTTAACCTCTTTGTGCCTCAATTTCCCCATCTGCAAAATGGGGAAAATCATAGTATCTGCCTCCCAGGGTTATCGTGAGAGTTTGGATCAGTGGGTGGCACATAGCAATATCTGAAATATTATATTGCTACTACATGTTAATTTGTAGAACAGTTGAGGGAATGTACATGATGTGGAGGTGAAATAATTAGGGGCATGGGAGGGGCGATTTGAAAAAGAGAAAAGAAGTTGGAGAGGAGAAATTTGTGTAATAGGGTTCTCCAGAGAAAGAGAACCAATAGAATATATATGTGTGTGTGTGTGTGTGTGTGTGTGTGTGTATCTCCTACACATACACTCACACACACTCACACATACACACATGATTTCTCTTTTGAATCTCTGTGTCCTAGATGGCTCTCTTTTCTTCCAAAGGTGATACAGGGCCTTACCCTGAGGTAAGGGGGTACATGGAGCTGTTCTCTAGATTGTCTTCTGTGCTCTCCATGTTGTTTTAGTCCTCAATGTTTACTCATTTGTTCCTTCTGGGAATGTGGTGGAGAGGACACATTCCTGCTTTTAAGGAGGAGAGCCAAGTGACTGCTAAAGCACAGCAGGTAAGTACCATGAGCTTTTCAGAAGAGGGTAAAATAGGTAGGAGGTGAGATCTCTGGGAGGTTTGCAAGGGGGAGACAACCCCAAGCAGAGGCCTGAGAACAGGTGAATGAAAAAGGGGTATCAAGATCCCTCTTTATGGGCTGGGGATGTGGCTCAAGTGGTAGCACACTTGCCTGGCATGCGTGCGGCCCAGGTTCGATCCTCATGCACCACATACAAACAAAGATGTTGTGTCCGCCGATACTTGAAAAATAAATATTAAAAAAAAAAAAGATCCCTCTTTACCAGATGAGGAAACCGACAGTCAGAGACAAGTGAGTTGCCAAGACCCACGTAGCTGGGGAGGTTTTGTCAGCATTGAGATTTAAGACAGGGTCTATGTGACTCTAAGGACTTGAATTGTCCAAAAATGCCATTCTTTCTATTCTCCCTCCCCATCTCCCCTGGGAAGCAAAATACCCCTATCTCTTGTGATCCCTATCTCCAATTTTTGTGTGAACCCTAAGCACCTGCAGCAAAGGGTGAGTTGGCCCCACTGCCTGGGGTGCACTCCTGGCTCTGCACTGCTTTAGGGTGTAACACTGGATACATAGCTGAGTTTTTCTGAATTTAACATGAAATACTAGCCTCAGAACTGTGTGAGGATTAAAAAAAAGAAAGACATACATTTTCTTTGTGGAAAGCTTAGCATAGTGCCTGCTACATAGTAATTATTCAATAGATGATAGATAATATCATTATTGTGGATGCTAAGCCTCATTTTTTGGTCTCAGTTGATTGTTATTAAGCCAGGCTAATGTGTTGCCTGATGAGGCATTGGCCTAAGTTGTATTTGCATTTTAGATGGAGACACTTGAAGATAAAAATTTACACTGTCTTTAGAAGAGCACCCATCTTCCTCTCTTCCCTGGGAGGGAATAAAGAAAGATTGGAAAAACCTTTGTGGCAGGCCAGCTGCAGGGAGGTGCAGATACTTTTAAGTTATGCAAAAACAAAACTCAGAAAGTTGCCAGCCACGCACAGGGCCAGTGTTAAGTGATTTGCCACCTGTGCAGAAACCTATACGATACCTAGAGTAAGAGTTCCTAAGAAACCTGAGCTTTCTCATTTGTACCCCTTGTCTCCTATCCTGGGCCCATAGTAAAGAAAATAAGGACAAGCAAGAAACTAGCTCTTTGAAATGTCAGAGTCTTAGAGGTAAGGGCCACTTGCCCAAAAGCATTTGAATAGCACACCCCGTCCTAGGAAGCTTATCCCAAACCTCATCCTCTTCAAGACCCCCTCACTGGGGAGGCTGAGTTGCCTCTGCAGGTGTCTGTGCAAATGGGAGACCAACAATGGTCATTAGTTTTCATTTGCTGAAATCAGCAATTTAATCCTAACCTAACCAGAGCCTGTAACTCCCCCTTCCTGGACAAAGGCCCTCCCCGAGAATGACTGAATTTCACAGGGAGCAATAAAGCAAAGGGCTTCTGCTGAATCAGGTGCTAGACTCTCGGGCCTGTAAATCATCCCCCTTGGTTCTTCAGGTTGGAGATGATGTCTTCACCACAGCCCTCTCTTTCCTGCTATTTCCACAACCCCAGCTACTAAGGAGATACCCCTAGGTAGCACATCCTTTCCAAACTGGGAACGCAGCTGGTCCTGGGTCCCCTTTCAAAACACGTGTGGCAGGAGAGTGTTCATATGAAATGCAAACATTGCAGATTGCCCGATCCGACTGGCCTCAATAAATCCATAAGTTGTTCATGGTTGTACATTCATGGATGGTCTGAGAACAGTCAATGTGGAAACCAGGTCATTTAGAGGAATTCCAGTCCAGGTGTTCTCAGAGACTCGGGCCCCTGAATAGGAGAGCAAGGATTGTACAATCAATTCTCCAGAGACCTTTCGCTTTCTGGGGTGTGTTCAGTAAAGGCAGTTGGTTAGGATAAAGCAGAGAGCTAATCAGTCAAGAGATTTCCTTTAAATGGAAGTTTTCAGAATCTGGTGTTTAGTGAATGTCAAGCTTGAGAAAGAGGTGAGATTGACAGAAGCTAAGACCCTCAAATCAGGGCTTCTCTTTTTATCCTCAGTTTGACCTAATAGACCGTACATGCTAAAGCCAGTCACTCTCCTCCCTGAAGTAGGACTTGGTACGTGTCTGGGGAGCCCAGCTGCAGAACAATGGAGGGTTTGAGTGTAGGGGACCAGGTAAGCCTTGACTCAGGCTGACCTGAACCTCACTTTTCTGCCCTATAAACTGGGGGTAGGGATGGGCTGCTTCACTAGTTTATCTCTTACCATCCTTCCCAATTTAAAAGTTTATCTGACCTTTAAGGGGTAGAGAGCCTGGAGTCGCTGAAGAGCAACGGAGTGAGAAAGAATCCCTGTTCTTGGTCCTAGGTGCCAATCTATCTGCAAAGTCTTTTTGGTCCTGTCTGTAAGCCAGTCCAGGAAACCTGCCAGGCTTTTTTTTTTTTTTCTTCTTTTTGGTGGGATATCCAGAAGCAGGACTAGAAAGTCACCTGAAAAAGGCTGCATGCAGAAAGGACAGTCCCTTTCTCCAACTGCTGCAGCAATCACTCAATGCAATGCTCTGATGCCACCTTCACCTCCCAGTTTGCTTATCTGTGTTCAGAGGCTGGCCAAGGAAAAGCACTCTGCTGGCAGAAAGTCAGCTTCAAGTCTTAGCTTTGGCAAGCTCTGTGACCTTGGGCCACTTGGTACAACCTTGTGGGATTGCTCCGTGTCAGGATATAATACTGGAATACTGGAATGGAGGAGGTACCAGAAGTTGCTTTATAAAGAGTTTATAAAGTTTATAAAGGTGGCTCCGGGAGAGGAGGGATGATGTCATGGCCCAGGTGAGGTGGTAAGCAAGGTCTTCATTCTGTTTATCCCTGCATCTCCCACAGGCCTCACACAGTCAGACAGCTGCACTTGACATCAACAGATGAGTGCATAAATGAGTCAACACACTTGGCTTGACCACATGGACTTCTGCTACCTTCTCAAGATACACTGGTAGGAGAAGCATTTCTGGAAAACATCTTTGGCTCACCAAGGACAGGTACTTCAGAAACTCCATTGTCCCTTAAAGGCATCCTGCCCTTTCACCTGCCCTGGGTCCTGAGGGTGAGCAGGGAACTGAGGGTAAGCAGGGGACTGAGAGCAGTCTGTGAGAGACACCTGTCGGCTTTTTCCTCCTAGACAGGGTACATGGCTTCTTGGCAGGTGTGGCACCCTGGTCCTGAATGGCCTCTTAGTCATCCCTTACTTAGGGAGATGAGGGCGCAATAAATCTGTGTTTAAGGAGACAGGAGATCAGGGTTTAGCACCTTATATCTCTGAGAGGCTTTGGCATCTTATTTTCCTAAATCATAAAATAAAAAAAAAAATTACCTTAAAGATCTTTCCTGCACATCAGTGAGACTTGAAGGTACAGGTCCAATCAATGTGAACTGAATGTAGAACTATATCAACCTAACTACTGATCCATGTGACTGAACCTCAACACCTTTCCTCCAAATTCCATGAATCTACTTGGGAAATGCTCAGTTCTTGCAATGGTCAGGGGACAGGATAGCAACCTTCCTGGGACATCCTGCCTGCAACACTCCATTAATACTCTGTAACACTTCTAAAAGTTTCTACATCCCATATAGCAAAGCCAGAGCTCAGAGTTAACTTCTGAGAAGAAAAGAATGGAATAAAGACCTTTCCTATGGGACAAATGCGGTGATATGAGAAGCCTGCCTTGTTATGATGGGTCTGTTGTTTTGGTGAATTTTCCACGTGGTTGGAAACAGTATCTCTCCTTCCTCAGGGAACCCCGATTCATCTCTTCTGGAAGTGGAGTATTTACCAGGATTCTTTCACACAAACCTGCTCTGTTCACAGCCCACCTGGGTTACTCAGCTTTTTGTCTCTGTGACCAAAACGTCCAACCGGAACAACTTAGAGGAGGAAGTTTATTTTGGCTCACAGTTCCAGAGGCTCATGGTGGACCAGCTCCATCGCTCTGGGTTCAAGGTGAGACAGAACCTCATGGCAGAAAGGTGTGGTGGAGAAGCACGGCTTCATTCATGACAACAGTAAATCAGAGAGAGGGGAGGGGGCTGCAAGGGAAGAGGAACTCTTCTAGGACACACCTCCAGCCACACCCACCTGCCTCATTACCATGAGTCTATTCAAACCCGCATGGACTGATTAGGTTACAGCTCTCATAATCCAACCATTTTGCCTCTGAATGTTCCTGCATTAACACAGGAGCTTCTGAGGGACACCTCAGATTCAAACCAAAACACCCCTTCTGTCCGTGTGCTTGCACCTTCAAGGTTTCCAACAGAACTTTAGAGGGGTTTATCAGACGGCCCTGGCCCCCAGACTGTGCTGGTAGTCAAGTGCCAGCTCCAGAAGTCATTACTAGGACAGACCCTGTGGGGAGGACCATCATTCAGCATTGGACAAAGACGTCTGTCCGGTGACCTACCCGGGGGCCTGTCAGAAATAGAAACATCTTAATGAAAAAGCACACCCCTCAGTCTTTTTCATGCTGACCAAGCAAAATGGAGGGGAGATTTGAATAAGAGGATGGGACTCTGCTTTTAGCAGCAAAGCAGCCCTGGGGCGGGGGCGGGGATTGTGGGGGAGAGATTTAGAATTTTTAAAAATCCTGTTGTGGGTTAATGGTTTCTTTTCCCTTCTTCCTTGCTCTCTCT